TGCTCATCTTATAGATAAAGAAACGGAATCTTAGAGAAAATAAATCACATGCCACAGGTCACACTGCTTGTCAGCAGAGCCTGGATGTTCACCCAGTTCTGCCTGACCACAGGGTCCGTATTCCTGGTTATTCTTACTACTTGACATCTCCACATGCATGCCCCAGGACTCCAACTCAAGATGGAAATGTTTCCTTCTCAGCACAGATCCTCCTTCTCCTGTCCTCTCCCAGCTTAGTCACCTCCTCATACCTATCACTTAAATCTAAACCTCCAGATCATCCCCAACGCCCATCACCCAATAACCTTTTAGTGTTCCTCTCACTGGTTCTCAATCTTTCTTCTTTCACATGCTCACTTAGTTCTTTCCTAATTTTATTCGTGCAGTATTATTTCAGTAACCCCTATGAACAGTGTCCCTAGCCTAGTCTTATCTTTTGCAAATCCGAACCCCATTTTGCTGGATCTAGATGGATCCTTTGGTAATGCAAAGTCGCTATCACCAGGAGGCTTAGAATTCCTCCCTGATGCAGCCAGTTCCATATGGACCGACAGATTCCTTGGCCAGAGGCTCCGTCACCATGTCTCCAACTTCTTCAAAGGCCTGTCCCACTACTTCCTGGCGACTTGTTCTTACCCCATCAACAGGCTCTTCTCTAAAGGTCCTACCTGGGGGCCCACACACAGAATTGGGTCCAAAGACATGCTACACTGTGTTGGTTCACCCAGTGCGACTGTGTTTCTGTGCCTGTCTGTACCTGCCACCATTTAAAGGATTACTCAAGCTCATGTAAAACATCCAGGCCTCTAACTTCTCTGGAAACACTGCCTCACCACCCAGGGTTGTGCCCCAACCCAACTCACCTCACACTTGTGACCTGCGTGACCGTGCGGCATCTGTGCGTGATCTCTCCTCTGGGTCCTGAGGTCTCTGCGTTTGCACTTGGTTCCCGCTGTGTCTTCAGGTTAGAGTTCCCTCTCTCCACCTGGCAAACTTCTTGTCTTTTTATTTTCAGGAGAGTTGGCCCATACCGTCATTGCTTCGTGGGGAGGGTGCTCAGGGGCCCTCGGTGCCGCGGCCGCTGCCAGGCAGGGTTTGGGGGCGCGGGGGGCGCGGAGGGCGCTGGCCTGCGGGGGGCGGGCTTGTTCCCGCCCATCCTGTGCCCGCCGCTGCCCAGGGGCCAGGTGTTCTGGTCGGTGGAGGTCGACGGTGGTCTGCACACAGGTAGCGGCTCTGCTGGCCGGGTTCCCGCTTCATGACCATCGCCACACCTCGGCCCTGGCCGCCGCCTCGGCCACCTTGTCGCGGTGAGCCAGCCGCTGTGACGAGAGGAGCCGCGGGCCTTCGGATGGCTGGGTTCGGTCCGTCTGCTTCGTCCTCTTGACCGGGCGCCTCAGCAGTTCCTACTCCGTCCGTGGCCGCTGGGCGGGCGCTGCGGCAGCTCCTGCGGGTTGGCGGCCGGACGGACAGAAGGGGGCTATTTTTGACCCTTGACCTCCCCTCCAGAAAGGCGGCGGGGGGCGGGGGGCCTTCCCTGGCAGGTGCCCTGCTGGGTCCCGAGCCAAGTCCTGTCCCGCGAAGACCGCACCCATCCCGCGCATGGTCCCAGGCGCAGGAGGCCGTTAGGGCTGGAGACCTCCAACCACAGCCCCCAAGTTCTCCTGATCCTTCCGATAAATCAGTCGCCCTCTGCTCCGTGGTCCCGTGAAGCTTCATTTTTATTTCTGCCGTAGCTTTCCCCAGACTATCGAAGGCGGTAGTGTGCGTCTAGACTGGGGAAAGCCTGCAGGAGGTTCGGTTTGCGCAGCTTCGCGCCCCTCGGGTGCGGTCCGCCCGCCTGGCCCCTGCGTGCCTCCCGCAGGCACCAGCCCGTCAGCGGAGGGAGGAAGCTCCTTCAGCTCTCCGCTCACGTCTTCCAGTCCCAACTGCCTGACACTTAACAAGTAAAGGACTTAGATTATGTAGAAAGGATCAAAAACTTGTTTCACATGAGCTTTGAGCAAATGTGGCTTTCTGAATTCTCATTAGTACGGTTAACAGAGCCGGTGACCAGGGTGGCCGCTGCCTGACTTGCAAGTGTATCTGCGGAGAAGTGTATCAGCGCCCTCCCCTCCCGAGTATTGCACATATGCTCAAATAACAACTACTGGTTTTTCAAAACACTTTCACACTTAGGAGAATTTTCTTGGGTAGTAATGACTTCATTAATCAGGCCTGCAACTTCCCCTACAGTTTCTAATCTCATGGTTTTATAAAAACTCACACTGGGGCCCTGGCCGGTTTGGTTCAGTGGTTAGAGCAATGGCCTGTGGACCAAGGAGTCCCAGGTTCGATTCCAGCCAGGGGCACATACCTCGGCTGCAGATCGTCTCCCTGGGGCCATGCAGGTAGCAATCAGTCTATGTGTCTCTCACAGTGAGGATTAAAAAAAAAAAACCTCACACTGTAAACTACTTATTTTACTGTATCTTTGTTTCTGAGATTTTGTTTTTATCTTTTACATCTGTTAAAGTGGAAGAATACTACACCCAAGAATCTAGATCTAGACTCAGAAAGATGTAACGTTTCTAGAGCAATCAGAAGATGTGTGGCAGTAGGCGGCATACACATCTTGCTTCAGGGGACCAATGCTCACTCCCTTCTGGAGAAGTATGAATGAAAGTCCACAGTTGCCATGGAAGCTGAATCTCAGAAGGAACAACCAGATTCTTTTAGGAGCTGCCTCTGTTTTTTTGCCGAGACTATCTACTGACAGCCCCCGGCCCCAGGCAGCTGACCACACTGCTGTGAAAGACTAAATAACATTCCGCTGTCTCCATTTGTTCCCCCTCTATCAGAATTGAATGTGGAGCAGGTGTGGTCAGCGAAGCAGGAAAATCCCTTTAGAAATTGTCTATTAGCCTGGTCCTGGGCTAACTTATGGGTATTGCTCAGGAACCCCATTCCTTCCCAAGGCGTGCCAAGCAAGGAAGGGAATCGTAACAGGAGCCAAACAGTCTGCAGTGTATCTACATTCCAAGAAAGAATGTCAGAAATTTCAGACTTCAAATTAAATCTTTGTTTGTAACAGTTTTCTTTCCTGTAATCCAATTTCCTCTTAATTAATCAAGAGGGATTTTTGGCTGTGTGTTGTTGGAACGGTTAACATGATCAGATAATGTTCAACTCTGAAAACGTGTGTGACAGATTTCTAGATAGAATATTAAAACAGCTCCCAAATTGGTTTAATCCCAGGAGGTAAATGACCTACATGATAAAGGAAAAAAAATTTTTTTTAATCCTCACCCAAGATATTTTTCCATTAATTTTCAGATAGAGTGGGAAGGAGAGAAAGAGAGAGAGAGGGAGAGAAACATCCATGTTAGAGAGACACATGGATTGGTTGCCTCCCGCACGACCCCAACCAGGGCTGGGGATTGAACTGCAACTGAAGACTCTTTGGTCTGCAGGCCAATGCTCTAACCACTGAACAACCGGCCAGGACACCTACATGATAAAATACTGATATCACTTTTTAAATGAAGTGGTCTTACTATCACAGGTAATTAACTTTCATATCTATTTGTATGTTCTTAGCAGTTTTCTATCAGTATGGTTCACTGCGTGCCAAGATTGGAGAAAACAATACAGTATTAAAGTCTATAGAGCTGCTGTATGGAAAAATATATTTGTCTTACTTTAAAAATGTTCAGTGCTGCCCTGGCCGGTTTGGCTCAGCGGTTAGAGCGTCGGCCTGCGGTCCGGAGAGACCCGGGTTCGGTTCCCGCTAAGGGCATGTACTTCGGTTGCAGTTTGTCCCCGGCCCTGGTTGGTCGTGCGGGTGGCAGCCACTCGATGTGTCCCTTCATGTCGATGTTTCTCTCTCTCCCTTCCTCTCTCTCCCTCCCACTCTATCTGTACAAAAAATGGAAAAATGTCCTCGGGTAAGGATAAAAAAAAATAATAATAAAAATAAATGTTCAGTGCTGAGCTCTGAGCATTTTTTTTTTTTTTTTTAGTTTCGTTCACTTCATAGATTGTTCTTTTCAGTCCAAATGACCTATCTATCCAGTCCTTTTTAATAAACCATATTTCAATCTTTGTTCTGGGAATTGAAAGAGTGGCTTTCTCTTAAAGAAGGATGTGTTATTAAAAAGGAAAAGTCAGGCAGGGTTGCTTCTGTTAGCATTCACTTCTTTTGTCTTTGAATGGTCTTTTTAAACAAACAATTTGATTTATTGTTATAATAATGTATAAAATTCAATGTATGTGTAAGTCTTAATTTAAATATTTAAAAGAATAATTGGACCAAAATTTTGACCATCATCTTCATTTAATATGATTTACTGACACAAAATTTCCAACCCGGGACTAGAAAACACGGCTATTGTTATCCCCGTTATCCGGGCCTCAGTTTTCTCATCTGAAAAATGAAAATTGGATGCGGTGACTTCTAAGTTCTGTATTGAATAGAGTTGAAGACAATAGAAAAAGGTAATTTAGGATCTTTGATCACTAGAATGAAAAGAGGCACAAGCTCTGAAGCAGACAGATCTGGGTTCGAATCCGGAAGTTAGCTTTGGGAAGTTAGATTTCATTGCACTCAGCTATAAAATGGGACTAAGCTCCTTGACGGCTGTTGAGGTTTAAATGAGAACACACTTATAATGTTCCTAGTACAACTTGTGCACATATTTTATGCTTCTATAAATGGTAAGACCATATTTTAAGGTCAAGAAAAACATAAGGCTGAGCGCATGATCAGATCTAGTAATTTCCACTCTGGCACTCGGAGAAGAAAGGGAGTGAGCATATCCCTGTCCTTTACCAGGGAGATATCCCTTTGCTGTGATGAAATCAGAGCCGTCAGGGTTTATAAAAAGAACACCATTAGGGGGAAGGCACCAAATCTCGGCCAGAAATGCTTCACATACTTTCATCGTCACCAAACTCTCTTCCCACCCCACACCCTGCTTCTATTTAAATCCGAGGCACTCCACTGGTCCCCACTCATTTTTGTGGGTGCCCAGGCTACCAGCACAGAAGAGAAGGACAGTATGACTCCAGGAGAAAAAGGAAGAGAGGGAGGACCAGCCAAGAGTGCCCTCCGGAAGATACACACAGCCACCCTGGTGATCAACTTGGCCCGAGGTTGGCAGCAGTGGGCAAATGAGAACAGCACCAGGCAGGCCCAGGAGCCTGCAGGCTGGCTGCCCGGAGGGACCCAGGACCCACCTCAGGATCCTAAACCAGTGACACATCCTGTTCCCCACCAGAATGCTCCGAGTGCCCCAAAGCCTCCCTCCCTACAGCCAGAGGGGCGTGGAGACAGGCAGAGCTCAGGGGGAGCCCCTGAGGTCTCTCACATCAAAAGGAAGGAGGTGACCAAAACAGTTGTGAGCAAAGTTTACGAGAGAGGAGGAGATGTGAGCCACCTCAGCCACAGGTACGAGAAGGATGGTGGCACACCTGAACCAGGGCGGCCGGAGGATGACATTGACAGAATCCTCCACAGCCACGGCTCCCCGACACGGCGGAGAAAATGCTCTAACCTGGTATCTGAGCTGACCAAAGGCTGGAAAGAGATGGAACAGGACGAGCCCAGCTGGAGGAGCGACAGCATAGACACGGAGGACAGCGGCTACGGAGGGGAGCCGGAGGACAAGCCCGAGCAGGGTGCAGAGCAGCAGGTGGCCGTTGCCAGAATCAGACGCCCCTTGCCCTCCCAGTAAGTGCATCCATCCTTCCGCTCCTTGTACTGCTGCAGCCCCAGCCAGCTCGGGGCCCAGACAGCAGGGGAGTTCTGCTGAGCTAGAGGGGGACTCAAAGACAGGCCAGCAGGGAGGTCCTGCGGGAAGGGTGCCGCAGCGGGCAGAGGGCAGAGGGCAGAGGGCAGCGCCCAGCTCAGACCAGGACCTTTGGGGAGAGGCCTCGTTCTGTTGTTTCTCTTTTCTGTTTGAACCAAACGCTCAGGTGTTAGCCTCAACAGAAATGGAACCAACAGAGAGGGGTGCTGTGTGGTTTGGGTGAAATTTAAAAATCAACTGTAGAATGAGTAGAAAATTGGCTTCTCTGTACAGAAAAGAGCTTGCTGATAGAGGGATTGGAGATACCTTTCCTTCGTCGCAAATCAGTCTAAGTTGTATCAGGAGTCACAGCCCCCCAAATAGTGCGCTTGGAACACAGATCTCTGCAGTCTGTCGTCAGGTAGGAGGCTGCTATCTAACGAGAGCAAGCTCTGAAGTCAGACAGACCCAATGTCGCCTCTACCCTGACTACAGTGAACAGTACTGTTACATACCTGAATGTTGCTAAGAGTAGAACTGAAATGTACTACACACAAACACACACACACACACACACACACACACACAACTTGGTTATTTTCCTAAGCCCAATTCCTCCTTTGTAAAATGATGGCAACAGTAACCTTTTGGGATAAATTCTCTTGCACTGAGAGAAGTAAATGAGGGTCAGGCTGCCGAGCACCTAGCACAGTGCCCGCCACAAATGCTCAATATATAAAAGCTGTTATGTGTATAGATTCTATCACTTAGCACTTTTTCAAACTTTCAGAAGAAATGTGTCATTTGTAAACAGGGAAATGCTATTAAAGCTAGATAATTAAAATACCACAATCCTAAAATATTTAGATGTTAAATATACACACACACATACAGACTCAAACGGCCACACTTATTCAGACAAGAAACACACGCTTTATTTCGAGACACTGACTCCACCTCCACACAATGGAAAGTCCGGATATCATACTCTGCAACCACAGGATATCAAAATACGGGAAAAGTCTCTGATGTGATGAATGCCTTTAGAGACTCCCTCTAGAAACAGTTACATGTGTAGATGTGCTTTTCCAGTTTGATGAAACAACCAGAAAGTGAGGAATAGAATTGGTTACCTAATTTGACAAAGAGCTGTCTTATAGTGTGTGACTTCACAGATGTTTTGAAGGAATTAGAATGACTATATTGCAAGCTTTCAAGAAAAATGAAACGGGAAACATATCATTTTAACAATCTCTCATGTGTTTAGAGTGCGCTTATGTGTATTTTACATGCTTTTGCCTTTTGACGCTTAGAATCCTATGTGGTAGGCACTATCCCCTTTTGGGAAGGAGGCGGAGCTCAGAGGGAAAGCTGACCTAGCGAAGTGGCGGAGCTGAGCGTGCCTGTCCCCACATGCAATGCTTAGACACGGTGCCAAACCCTATGCAGTGCCTTGATGTGTTCAGAGATTCGGATCTGTGCTCTACTTACATTAATATAGGAATTCATAATCAGAAAAACCATTCTACCAGAAATACGAGCACCTGCCTGCTAGAAAGAGAATAATAGAGCCCAACAGAATAAAGACAGACTGGCAGGGAAGACCTTCCTGCCAGCACGTTGAATTGGCCAGAGGCAGGGAGATGACAGCTGGGACCAATCTCCAAAGCACATACTCTTCTCTGGTACTTGTGTGAGCACTTCTCATAGGTTTATTCATTCAATCCTCACAACATTCTCATGGGCGAGGTGTCATCATTAACTACGCTTGATAGATGAGAACATAGACAGAGACATGAGGGAATGCGTATAAGATTAAACAGCCCACGGGATTTGAACCCGGGCATCCTGGCTCTAGAGCCCACCCTCTTGGCCAGGACTCTGAACCCTCTCACCTGGAAGTGGGACTTGCGTTCAGGCCCTTTCTCACGGTCCCTGAAATCAGGCGTGTACAAGGACACCTCGGTGTGGTGGAGAGGAGCTTAAGCTTTGAATGAGAAACACATTTGAATCATAGTTACATGGACAAATCCTAAATCTCTTTGTCCTCATCTAAAAAATAGAAACAATAATTCCAGTTATTTTTGTATTAATTATGTAAAGTGATGGACCCAGAGGAGCTATTGAATAAGTTATACTCATTACAGTGCAGGGGGCCAGCCCCAGCGATCGCAGCCCTTCAGGTTTGGCCAGGGGGTGTGGGCATTAAATGTCTCCTTCCTTCTTTGGTTCCTTTCCCTCAGTCTTAACCAGTACTCAGGGTACCAAGATGCTGTATGCAGCAGCAGCGGCTCAGTGTCACGGGTAACCCTACCTGTGCTCAGTAAGCTTCCGCAGAAGCTTTGGGATCCTCAAATACTGCTTGAGCAACGAACGTGGCATTACGGAGAAAGTCTATAGGAAAGGAGTTTTCACTTATTTTCATTAAACACCATTCTTATCCCGTATCCACCAATAGGGAGACAATTGTGTATCATGATTATTTAAGTAGAAAGAAAGTTCTGTTGGTAGTTAATAGAAATGAGTCAGGTTGGGTAAAAAGGAGAGATATTCCTTATACTCTTATAAGATAGAGAAAATTGACTACTCATTAAGGTATATGTCCTCTTATACTTTTCTCTATAATCCTATTTTAAATTCTTGCTTATAGGTCCAATTTCTTTGTTTTCCTTCCCTCCCACTATTGGGAATCAAAATTTTACAATATCACAAGTACACATTAAGATTTAAAAGGTGCTTTTTTTGAGAAGATAAATGTTTCTCTTCTTCATAGATTTATAACCTCACCAACGCCAACCCTTATTCCAAAAGATATAGAGTTTCAACACTCAGGGAATCTATGTTCCTAATTAAAATTAGAAGAAGAAAAAAACAACATCAAAGAATCAGAGACCCAGCTAAAATACAGTTGAAACAAATTAGCTCTGGATGCTAATTTAAATATTGTCTTAATTTTTGCTTTCTTTAAATTATTAAATCAATATAAAGCAACATGAAAGAATATTTTTAAAAATAAAATTTAAAAAAAACAGTGATCATCTGGACACAGACAATTGTTTCCAGTTGTGCATAAACCATTGATTTCTTCAGCCTGGTGCATATATGTTTTACACAGTTGGAATTGTACTCAAATTTGTATTACTCTGATTATCTTTATGAATGTCTTGTAGTGATTATTTGCTGTTTTTTATTTTCACTCTTGAATATCCAATAAGTAACTAAAACAGTGTCTGGAACACAGCAGGTATCATAAATACTTTAATCAAGAATGAAAATAAAATGTCCAAGTGCCCAGAAGCTAAAGGGAGGATGTATTGTGTTTTATACTATATGGCAGAATTATAGCTGGTGCTCAGGAGACAAAAAGTATGAGTTAGTGAATAATACTATTCCTCTTCTGACAGTGTCCCAGCCTCAAATCTGGTACAACCTTTGGGTTCTGCATTGAAGGCCTTGGTCTTGTTATAAAGGCCATGCCTGCCATGGATTGCCATGGTTCCCAGGGCAGCTGAACAGGGACAGTCTATGGAGAAGGAGGTGACGGTGAGAATCAGCAGGGCAGAGAAATCCATTCCGCTGGAGGGCTGAGAAGAATCCATTTCACTTCAGGGTGATGCAATTCCTAGCATTTTTCCATACGTACACGATTTTTTAACGTTGAAGTCCTTGTGTATAGTTTTGGTATGCTGTTTTGTCCCAATTGACTTTGTCATGTACATTTGTCCACGTGGGTACAAAGAATAGTAGTGTTATACATAGCAGCATATTCCTAGTTTGGATTCTATTGTAATAGGGTAGGGCTTTTGGACACACAAAGCATAGGAAGTAATGAAAGTTCGCCCTCTAGTGGACGTCATTCCTCTTTTGGAAACAACGCTAACACACACATGTGTGCCTCCCTATCTATTAGCATCCTGCATTTGGAAAACCAGATTTCAGGAAGTAAGTTTGGAAAGTGAGGTATACTTATATCTGACTTCTTCTTGAGTTTTGAAAAGTGAATTGTGATAATTCGGGTAGGAGGGGCTACTTAGTCGTGCCGCTTTCTCCAGCAAACTCAGAACAGCTCTTCATCTCCAGCCCCGATGCTCCCAGCCCTGCTGCCACTTGGTGTTGGGGAGGGGGAGGGGTGGGCCACTTGTGAGGAAGAGGAATGCAGAGCCCTGGCTTTCAGATGATCCTGCTGACTTGTGAAAGCAAAGAGATCACAAGGGAAAAGTCTAGGAGATGAGAGTTACAGATATGACAGGGAAGTCTTAAAGACAAACTGTGTCCCTTTTCAAATTAGGCTTTCACCCTCATGACACTACTGACTTACACTTTCCAACGCTGGTGTTTTGTTTTAAATAAAATATTCATTCCAAACTACAAGGACACACACACACACACACACAGTTTGACACACAACTCACTCCCATGCTGAGCAGCATCATGGCACAGCGGAAAGACTGCTGACTTCAGCCTCAGATGCACCACATGGTGTCCAATAAATGTTGCTATTGCTAACCAGTGTCTTCTACCTATACAATTTGATATTTTAAAATTTGTGGTACATAAATAAGTATAGATATGGTCTCCTTAGACATCCATATATGGCCCTGGCTGGTTGCTCAGTGGTTAGAGTGTTGGCCCGCCGACCAGAGAGTTGTGCGTTAGATTCTGGTCAAGGGCACTTGCCTCGGCTGTGGTTTGGTCCCTGGCCCTGGTCGGGGTCACACAGGAGGCAGCCAATTGATGTGTCTCTCTCATGTCGATGTTGCGCTCTCTCTCTCTCTCTCTCTCTCTCTCTCCCTCCCTCCCTTCCTCCTTCCCTCACACTCTTTCTGAAGTTAAATAAAAAAACACCCTCGGGTGAGGATTAAAAAAAAAAAATCCATACATGAAAATCTACATGTGAGTGAACATTACAACGTGTGGTGGTATAAGCTTTATTTGGGGGGAAATAGCTGGTTTCTGAAGTTCTATATAAAGTGGATTCCCTTAATACACTCATGATTCTAGTTCTAAAATGTTATTAATATGCAATTTAAGAGCCATGTATTTGCATTACCTTTGTGTAAGGAAGCTTTTTTTTCTTAAAATAGTTTGATATTATTGTTTTATGGTGCTTAAAAACCTAATTGTTATTCAGAGAAAATAATCTAGACAGGCACACACCAAACTAAAAACAGTGGTGGGACGTGTGTGTTTCTTCTTTCATTCCTAACTTCCTTGTATCGTTCGTATTTCTTTCATAATGAAACAAAACGAGGGACTTACATTACGAGGCGGATGCGCAGGAAGCACAGGAGAAAGCAGGCGGGGTGCGGTGAACACCAGTGCGTTGACTCTTCACTGTCTCTCTCCTTCAGGGCGAACAGATTTGCGGAGAAACTCAGCTGCAAGGCCCAGCGGAAATGCAGCCACGTGCACAGCCTGCGAGGAAAGTGGCAGCAGTGGGCCGACGACCACGTGCAGTCCCAGAAGCTCAACCCTTTCAGCGAAGAGTTTGACTACGAGCTGGCCATGGCCACCCGCCTGCACAAGGGAGACCAGGGCTACGGCCGCCCCAAGGAGGGAACCAAAACCGCCGAGAGGGCCAAGCGGGCCGAGGAGCACATCTACCGAGAGATTATGGACATGTGCTTCATCATCCGCACCATGGCTCGCCACCGGCGAGACGGCAAGGTCCAGGTCACCTTCGGAGATCTCTTTGACAGATACGTGCGGATTTCAGATAAAGTCGTGGGCATTCTCATGCGCGCCAGGAAGCACGGGCTGGTCCACTTCGAAGGGGAGATGCTGTGGCAAGGCCGAGACGACCATGTCGTGATCACTCTGCTCGAGTGAACCCCCAACGGCCAAAACCATCTGCACCCACGGTCGTCTTAATGCTAAATGCTAATTCGGTGGAAATTAAAATGCAAACTGTTCTGTAATAAGTTAGGAAATATTAAACGATTTTTACATGAATGACCTTTGGCACTCCGTTTCTGAGGAAGTTTGAAGATTTTGAGAAAGCACACACACACAGTTGAAATTCCACGTACCCTTTCAGGCAAAAATATTTGGCTATTTATTGCAGACATTCTTATAGATTTTTAATGAAATAATTACTATATCAAAAAAGAATGCTGAGATTAGGTAAATATCAGCAGAACCTATTATTACGGCATTTTTCAGGGGGGGGAAAAGAATTCTATTAAGTTGGGCAAAACTAAATTTAAAATGTTCTAAGAAGCTTGACTTTGTACATTATTTTAATCATTAACACAAAATGGGCACAGAAGTAAAAAGTTAATTTCAAATAAGATCATGAAATTGCTCAAATTTCTCTGTGGGCTTATGATTTAATAGGTTTCCAAAGTTGGCCATGCTTGTCTTTGTGCAAATCACATGAACACAGACATCACTGGTCGTCTTAGAACCAACAGAGAAGGCGGCTACGTTCGCTTTGGCTGTGGAAGTAAAGCCGGGCGAGAGACCAGGTTCACCTGCCCTAGGGGGACTTCTTGGAGGAGTTTATCTTTTCTCAAAACCTTAATAAGCCATGCTGCTTATATTTATGCTAATATATAATGAAGTAGAAATTTTTTTAAAAAAGACAATCAAGTGGAATGTTTATGTAGAATATCTGATAGAATCACTCACTGGTAAATTAGAATCAGATTTGAAACATTTTCATTTTCTTCATACTCGAAAAAGTTTTATAAAATATCAGCAATATTAGTTCTGCCAAAGTGAAAAAAGTAGTTTAACATGATGCCAAAGAGAAATTTATTTGATATTCATCTGCTACTTGTCATTTTTTTTTCTCAGATTTAACGTGCCTTATATAATTCTAAAAACACAGAATAAAATGTGAGATTACAATTCTTACTGAATTAAATAAAAATTCCTAAATTATATAACACGGTGTTAAATACAGAAATTAATGTCAAATTATGATACCTCGAAATAATAGACATTCATAATCGTTAGGTGTTAGGTTTAATATTCAGTATGGATTAAACTATTATAGGAATTTTTTTTTGTTTTCATGTATGATTCTTTCAAACTTCAAGTTCCAATAACTTCTTAAATAAGGTTTGTACATTTTCGTTTTTATAATATATTAAATTACAAATAAATGACCAATATTAATAAGTAGACTTTCATGTAAGATATACACTTCCATCACAACTATGAGCCTATGTCAAAACGTTAAGATATGGTACTAGAATAAAAGATATTTTCTTGTATTTCCTGTTCTTGTGTTTAGACTACTATTTTTACGACTTATTTGGAATACAACAAAATAATGGAGTGCAACTTGGGTAACTTCTAGTTATCAGTGGAAAATGTAGACCAAGGCTTCCAAGCGTTCCCTCATGTTAAACTCTGGACGCGTACATTACATATGCTGGTTTATGTAGGTACGGACACAGATCCTTCCAACTTCAATTTGTTCAAATATGAGGAGGAAATTAAAAAGGCGTCTTCTCATAGAGCTTACTTTCACTTACACTTCTTCTGAATAAGTTGTGGCTGTGAAGTCAGAAAGCTGACTTCCGTAGGGGAAAATGACTGCTATGTGACAGGTTTTTATCCTAAAAAATTCCAGATAGAAAAATTCAGTTGAAAATTTAGGGCTTTAGAAGGAAAAGAAATAAGTAGAACTCAGGGGCAAACAGACTAATGAAAGTCTTCATATTTTTATAATCACCAAAATAATACATGAAATACAGGAATTATAAGTGAAATAGACTATCAGTAGCATTTTACCATTGGTAATTCTAGGTGTCCAGTAATGGGTTCTGTATGACCGGTTTCCAAATCTTCAGGATTTTCCTTTTCCAAACTTTCAAAGAGTTTCTGAGCTGTTGACATGTGCTCTTTTTTTTTTTTTTTTTTTTTTTTTACCCTTTCTGTCTGGACCTCCAAATGTTTGATGCCTTTTCAACTTTAATAACTTGAAGTTTTGTGACTTCTTGATTCCCAAGTTCCTTCTGGCCATGTACACCAACAAGAGGGAAGTTCTGAGCTTGGAATTTCTTCCTCCACTGTTGAAAAATAAGGCTGCACCTCTATTCTTAGTTTGGCTTTTGCCTTTTCCTTTCTCTTCCCAAACTCAAGTTGCTTTCTTCTTGATTACTACCAAGAGGTATATTTATCAGGTGCTGTTTCTCACACAATATGGGAATAATTCTGGGTAAACTAGGATTTTATGTCATTGGGGAACAGCTGATGTACTTTTTCTATTAAGTCATTCTGTTTAGGGATTACAAGAGGAAAAAGACACCATCTGGCCCATGCTAAAGTGGCCTCTTGATGAGATACTTCCTTTGGATTCCCAGAATACTAATTTTCATTTCCATTGCCTAGAACATTTCTTAGTACACAGTAAGGACAGTTAATGTTTGTTGAATTATTTAATTTATAAATGTGTGTAGGACCTAACCTCTTAGTCTAGAGGTTTTCAGAATGCTATCATTAACTATCATCCCAACAAGGGCTATCTGATAACATGTGTGCACAGATTTTGAGGGCATGTCAGTATCTAACAAAATTGCATTACATTTACTTTTTGACCAAGAAATTCCACTCTTAAAATTTTCCTGAAGATACAACTCAAACAATATGAAAATACATATGCATCATGCATTGTACATTATTTTTAATTGCAAATTACTGCAAAGAACCTAATGTATATAGGAAAATGATTGAACAAAATACGGTATATTTATACAATTATACAGCTCTAAAAAAAAAGTAAGAGAGATAATTAAGAACTAAAATAGTTATTTTTAATGTATACACACATTGGATTTTGTACACACATATACACACACTAGATTATATATGTATATATATAATATACATTTTGAAAAGAGATGGTATAAATCAGTTGAAATATAGAAGAAAATTCTGTAGAGTTTGTATTTTGGAACCATTTCACTATGTTCCATATGCAAAAAGTAAAATTAAACAAATGGACAGGAAAAAAGTGAAAATTGAATACAAAAATACTAAATAATAAATGTAGTTCTAGTTAAATTGATTAAAATAATCACACAGGAGGAAAACAGAAATGTACATAACTTTTTACTACAATAATTTGATTAAATACCTTCAATCTAGACAAAAAAAACTACGAAGAGCCCTGGCCAGTTTGGCTCAGCAGTAGAGCATCGGCCGGCGGTCCAGGGAGGCCCGGGTTCAGTTCCCGCTAGGGGCACGAACCTCGGTTGTGGTTTGTCCCTGGCCCTGGTTGGGTCGTGCGGGTGGCGCCCACTCGATGTGTCCCTTTCGCGTCGATGTTTCTCTCTCTCTCTCTCTCTCTCTCTCTCTCTCTCTCTCTCTCTCTCTCTCTCTCTCTCATCCTCCCCACTCTATCTGAACAAGAAATGGAAACATGTCCTCAGGTGAGGATTAAAAAAAAAAAAAACTACAAAAAAATATTAAAATCAACTTAATTTTGTTTGTGAGGGTTTGGGTGTACAATTCTGAAACTATAATGTGTGTGTCACCGGATGAAGAAAATGAGTACTCACGCTGATGGCCTCACCGTGGGAGAAGAGATAGAAACATGGAATACGCGGGGACAAGGAAGGATCTGTAATGCTAAACAACTAGAGGCAGAGTGTACATTCATGATGTGCATTTATTTCCAATCTCTGTCTCCTGAAAGGCCCCAGAAGCAATGCCACCCAGCAGCAACAAGGTAACATCCAGATTTCAAAATGCCATTCTCTTTATTTTTTTATTATTTTTTTTGTCCTCACCAGAGGACATTTTTGCATTTATCTTCAGATAGAGCGGGAGGGAGAGGGGAAGGAAGAGAGAGAGACAGAAACATCGAGGTGAGAGACACATCGACTGGTTGCCACCCACACGACTCCACCAGGGCCGGGGCCGGGGACAAACTGCAACCGAGGTACATGCCCCTAGCTGGAACCAAACCCAGGACTCTCTGGTCCGCAGGCCGACACTCCAACCGCTAAGCCAAACCAGCCAGGGCTCAAAATGCCATTCTCTTTGAAAGGAAACGTCTATTTGGAGAAATGGCTAATGCTAGGATTGGGTTACAGAAAGTACAGATACGTTTAGAATATCTTGTTGCACCAGAAGCAAGCAAGTGTTCAAAGACATGACAAAACGCACAGAAGCCAGGGGCTGGGGTTCCCACTGGTTAGATGTAGGACACAAATGGATTATTTAAAACTTTGAATTCAAAAAAGGAACCATCAGGCATACTGATAATGGATCCACTTTTTAAAACAAACCCATATTTATTTTATTTATTCTTGTTATTTTTAATCCTCACCCAAGGGCATCAGAGAGGGAGGGAGAAACATTGATGTGAGAGAGCAACATCGATCAGTTGCCTCCTGTGAGTGCCCCGAATGGGGGTTGAACCTGCAACCCAGGTAGCCCTGCCCGGGAATCAAATGGGCAACCTTTCGGTGCAAAGGACGATGACAGTTGACCGATTAACTGAACCACTCCAGCTGGGCAATAATGGATATTTTTAAATGATGGAGAAAGGAAAGCTTTCCTCCAGTAAATGCCAAATAACAAATGTGCTGGGAATAAAAGAAGTCATTTTACAACCATTTTAGTAATTCAGACAAGAATCCTCAATGGATACCAAAAACATTGTGAAAATACAGTGGAGAATAGAGTATCTGTGGTATCGAAGTGCCTCCCTACACATTCCTTATTAATCACAAGAAAAAATGATAGCGGTGGACAAACGTGGTGGACACATTCTTGATAAATGAATCAAAGCTATCACCAGTAAGGGGATAAACATACATTGTGTGTGTCCTAATATGATGCAGAGGACAGAACGTCACTTCTGTGGTTTTGCTGCCAACAATGCATAACCTAAATTTAAATATAGAAAAAAGTCGGATAAATCCACACTGAGTCACCCCTGAACACCCCAAATATATCACTGTCATAAAATACAGAAAAGACTAATGAACTTTGCCAGGTTAAAAATAAAAAAGATAGGCCCTGCCGGTTTGGCTCAGCGATTGGAGCATCGGCCCGTGGACCAGAGAGTCCCGGGTTCAGTTCCCGCTAGGGGCACGTACTGAAAAATGAAAAAATTTAAAAATAATAATAATAATAAAATAAATAAATAAATAAAAAAGATAGAACTAAATGCAATGAAGGATCCTGAACTGGATTACGGATCAGAAAAAATAATGCTTTAAAGGATATTATTAAAACCATTGATGAAATTTAAAAATGGATTGCATATTAACTCATATTATTGTATTATCTTAAACTTCCTGAATTTTATCATTGTACTGTGGTAATATAAAAGAATATCCTTGTTTTTAGGAGATACATGCAAATATTCATATGTACAGTATAATGGAGTTAGTCTCTGCAAAATAATAGTGAGTGGGTGTGTGGAGAAATGGAGTCGGTGATGGGGAGAGGAGAAAGAAGGAAAATAGTTCTATAAACATTCTAGTACGTGTCTCTGGGTAAAGAAATATAAACATTACTGTTAGGGACATACCAAGGAATTAAATTTGCTGGTCAAATGCTCATCTTTAGTACGTACTTCCAAAAAAGTATTCCAAAGTTGTTTAACTTCATGTTCCCTTTTAAAATAGCTTTTATTGGCTATTTTAATATTCTTAGGCATTACCAGTCTTCTGCCTTTTCTTCTGAGCTTCTTTTATTTGTAGTCATTTATATATTGTGTATGAGACCTTTATTAGATCTGTGTATTATTATAAAAACCTTCCACTCGGTTGGTTGCTTTCCACCTTTAAAATTTTTTCATGGAAAGCTCTTAAAATTCTAATGTAGCATATCATTCTTTTCCCTTTATTTTGTTTCCATTTAAGAAATGTATGCGTA